TCCTGCAAAGAGCCTCCAGGCTTATGAAGTGACTTTTCCAGAGTCAGCAAAGTTGGCATTAGCTGAAGAGGGGGCAGCTGCCTTGAGCAAGAGCCCAGAGGAGGGATAGAGCAGGTGTCTTTGCCAGGGAAGAGACCAGCTCAAGGGGGAATCAACCAAAGCTCCCGAAGTGTCAGCTGCCACTTCAAGCTTGCCTTTTGCTGTCACTCAGTGCCATGAACTCTAAGGGGGCTGGATGGGAGGGGGGAGGATTCAGGGAAAATGAAAAGTTTACTGCATCTTCCTGAGACGTGGTTTCAAGGTGAACTGGCTGGGAATGGAATACAACTTCATACTGACTTACACTTTAGAATAGAATAGAATAGAATAGAATAGAATAGAATAGAATAGAATAGAATAGAATAGAATAGAATAGACAGATTGTAGAATAGAGTAGAGCAGAGCAGAGCAGAATAGAATAGAATAGACAGATTGTAGAATAGAATAGAATAGAATAGAATAGAACAGACAGATTGTATAATAGAATAGAATAGAATAGACTACAGTAGAGTAGTATAGAACAGACAGATTGTATAATAGAACAGAATAGAATAGAATAGAGTTCAGTAGAGTAGAATAGACAGATTGTAGAATAGAATAGAATAGAATAGAATAGAATAGAATAGAATAGAATAGAATAGAATAGAAGGGACCTTGGAGGTCTTCTAGTCCAGCCCCCTGCTCAAGCAGGAGAACCTATACTGTCTCAGACAGGTGAATGTCCAGTCTCTTCTTGAAGCGACCATTCTGAAAACATCTCCTTTGAATTTAATTGGATATTGGGGGAACCACCATGGGTAGGAACCGAAGGGAAGGAAAGTTAGACCTGGGCATTTTGGTGTGCAAATATCAGTTCTGGCTTTGCACTCCTGTATTTCACTTGACCTCTAGTAAACTATACCTTCCTCAACAAATGGAGTTAAGGATGGTTTTTTCTTGGAGGCTCAAGCTGAGGCTGGTCTGATGAGGTTTCAAAGGAAAAATGTGGGAAAGTTGTGATAGTGGTGATATCTATAGCTCAGGTGTAGAATGAAGGTTCATTCTCTGAGATTGTGGGTTGGTTTCTGAATGTTTCGTTACCAGGCTAGGTAACATCTTCAGTGGAGTTGAAGGGGATGTTAGTGTCAGTGTTCTTCTGTTTATAAGGGCTTCTGAAACCTTAATGTTGAAACCTTACTTTTGGGTAGAATGGATGAGTGGTAAGATAGCCTAGATTTTTTCCACCCCAGGAGAAGAACATGTCTAGCCAAGGCCTTTAACCACTAGATAAGATAAGATAAGATAACCTTTATTGTCATTTTTATACTGTGGGCACAATGGCACACATCACAAATGTAATTTAGTTGCCCGCTCTCAAAGTGAAACACATACATGACACACACCTAAACATACTATGAACAACATATGTATAGACCCACATCCCTACATATACGTAGCAAATAAATATTAAATATTGTCTATCTTGATTATATAATGGAAGGAGGAAGCTTGAGAGTTCGCAAGGTTAATGCTGTATGGAATGAAACTCTGGCTGAATCTGGATTAAAGATATGTATCTTTGCATGACATTTCAGGATATAGCTGAGGGGGTTCAGCCCCTGGTCATTTCCAAGAACGCTAAGTTTTTATATCAGCACGTGGCATTATCATTATCCCCTTGGAAGTTTTTAATCTTCAGTCTAGTCCAGCATTTCTCAACCTTGGCAAATATGAGCCAGCCGTGTGCTGCAGCTGCCAAAAAAGCCAACACAGTGCTAGGCTGCATTAACAGAGGGATAGAATCAAGATCACGTGAAGTATTAATACCACTTTACAATGCCTTGGTAAGACCACACTTGGAATACTGCATCCAGTTTTGGTCACCATGATGTAAAAAAGATATTGAGACTCTAGAAAGAGTACAGAGAAGAGCAACAAAGATGATTAGGGGACTGGAGGCTAAAACATATAAGGAATGGCTGCTGGAATTGGGTATGTCTAGTTTAACGAAGAGAAGGACGAGGGGGGACATGATAGCAGCGTTCCAGTATCTCAGGGGCTGCCCCAAAGAAGAGGGAGTCAAGCTATTCTCCAAAGCGCCTGAAGGCAGGACAAGAAGCAATGGGTGGAAACTAATCAAGGAGAGAAGCAACCTAGAACTAAGGAGAAACTTCCTGACAGTTAGAGCAATTAACCAGTGGAACAACCTGCCTCCAGAAGCGGTGAATGCGCCAACACTGGAAGTTTTTAAGAAGAGACTGGACAGCCATTTGTCCGAAATGGTATAGGGTTTCCTGCCTGAGCAGGGGGTTGGACTAGATGACCTCCAAGGTCCCTTCTAACTTTATTATTATTATTATTATTATTATTATTATTATTATTATTATTATTATTATTATTATTATTATTATTATTATTATTATTATTATTATTATTATTATTATTATTATTATTATAGATGTGTTTGCCAAGGGCTGGGCAAAGAACCAGATCCCTAGGACCCTTTGGAAAACCAGTAGAGTTTTTCATTCATTCCCAATAGATGAAAAAAAAACCACACAGAGTAGTAGATTGTACAAAATAAATGGAGATTCCTGGAATGTATATTGTTAAACTAACAAAAAAATTATTCAAGAGAATATACGTTTCAGTTGAAACAAATGTTTAATATAAGCACTGCGTACAAACGTACATATACTTAATGTACTCCATCAGCTAAGCCAAAGTGAATGAAACAAATCTTGAAGGAATCAACCAAGCTTTGAAAGACTCCATCAAGACCTTGCTCCATGATGCGTTTGCTCCGTTAAGAATTCTCTGATGCTGTGATTTCTACCACCTTCAGCAATACAGCACAACAGCGGTCAAGTTCTAATCTATATTAGTAGCTACATTTTCTGAGTTAGTGTCTGCATTAAACTTCAGTGTGTAAGCCCTACTACCTCCTCAACATTTTATAGTGTGCAGATACAACAACACTTGCAACTTCCCCATCCCCCCCCTCCTTTCACAAAAAGAACTGTTTGGAAAGGTAGAAGAGAAAAAAAAAATCTACTGTAACTTTTGATCTAAGCAGGGCTAAACATGGTTAGTACGTGAGTGGGAATCTACTAAATGATTCCAGGAGTGTGAGTTAGGCTGTAGAGTTGAAAAAACAGTCCTCTGGAGTAGTGTTTCTCAACCTCAAACACTTTAAGATGTGCCAAAGAGGCTTTTTCAAGAGGCAACTGGACTGTCTTTGTTTTTCTTTGAAGACCTTTTGCTTCGCATCCAAGAAACTTCTTCAGTTCTTCAAAAGAAACCTCTGGAATAAGAAGTGAAACATCTTAAAAGATGTTTGGGGCTTCTACAGGTAGTCCTTGACTTGCGACCAAAATTGAGCCCAACATTTCTGTTGTTAAGTGAGACATTTGTTAAGTGAGTTTTGCCCTATTTTACAACCTTTCTTGCCACAGTTGTTAAGTGAATCCCTGCAGCTGATGAGTTAATAACCTGATTGTTAAGTGAATGTGGCTTCCCCATTGGCTTTTCTTGTCAGAGGGTTGCAAAAGGCATAATAATCACATGACCTCGGGACACAGCAACTGTCGTAAATATGAACCGGTTGCCAAGCATCTGAATTTTGATCACATGATCATGGAGAATGCCGCAGAGGTGGTAACTGTGAAAAACCGTCGTAAGTCACATTTTTCAGTGCCGTTGTAACTTTGAACGGTCACTAAATGAACTGTTATAAGTCGAGGACAACCTGTATAGATTAATATGGGTCTCTTTTCATTATCAAAAAAATAATAATAATGAGTGAGAACAATTAATCGGTGGAACAGCTTGCCCTCAGAAGTTCTGTGTGCTCCATCCCTGAAACTTTTAGGAGGAGTGGGTGTGGCCCATTGGGTGGGTGTGGCCCATTGGGTGGGTGTGGCCCATTGGGTGGGCGTGGCTGCGGTGGTAATGGCAGACTGGGTGGGACTAAAAAGTTCAATCAATCAATCCCAACTTTGCAAGATCTTTTTTTCCCCACGAGAAGTTGAAATTGACTGATTGATTGAACCTTTTTTTTTGCACCCGGCGGCAGAGGCCTAAAGCAAAAAGGTTTTATAAAACCCAGGTGAAGGCCTAGGACTGGGGCGACGGCACACATGCCCACAGAGAGGGCTCTGAGTGCCGCCTCTGGCACCCGTGCCATAGGTTCGCCACCACTGTCTTAAAAGCAAAGCAAAGTCCAGTTGCCTCTTGAAAAAACACCTTGGGGCAACCATGACTTGGATGACTGAGAATCTCCATAGACTTTAAGATGTGTGGACCTCAATGCGTGGAATTCCCCAGCATGCTGGGTATCCTTTATTTGACCCAGCATCTGATCCCCAGAGACAAATACTTCTATATAGGATTTTCCACTCTATGTTTATATTATCTATCCATCATGGCTGCTTCTCTGTGGCCAATGTCACCTATAAAAAAATCAGAGCTCCCTCTAAGTTAAACCCAACAGGTCCAAACATGCTACTAGAACTCAAGGTACAAGACACTGCTTAAGCTTACCATGATAAACAGTGAGGTTAAATTGGGTTAAAGGGAAGAATAACTCATCTCTGTCCAACTTAGGGACTATAATTGTTGGAGTGGATTGAGGAATGTTGAATAAATAATTGACAGGGAGTGCTACAAAGCTGTAATCTAGGATGTTTAGTCACCTGTTAATGCTGAACCAGTCTGCACTTGCAATGGAAGGGCTGCCTTAGTGTCAATGATATCATATCACTCTGTTTTTGTAGTTGTTCAGACTACTCTTCCAAGATGTGCAGACTTGAGACGGCAGGGGTTGGCCAAAGATGGGTTCTCGATTATCATTGTCAACCGTGAGACCTCAATTCAAGTTCTTGTCAGGACAAAAAGTATGGCTTTCTAAACATCTACAAGATATCGTCCACCACCTTGTTGAAAATGAGGCTGTTTTTCTCCTCCTTCCCAGCTGACAGAAAGAAAAGAACACAGCCAACGGTGTCCTCTATACTCTATACTCACAACAGAGCAACAGAGTCTTAGAAAGAGAATAACTAAAAATTCTCATAGTGATGTATAAAGTGAGCTTGGTCCCGCTTGTTGATTTTCTGACATGCTTTCTCCACGTTCTTGGTCATGCCAGGTGGGCCACAGCTGAAAACACCAATTTTTCGGACCTGAGAACAAAAAACAACAACAACAAAAAAACAGCTCAGAATCACAGAGATGCAAAATAAAATAGTAAAATAAAACCAACGAGGGAAATAATTAAATTTTCCCCTGGTTCTAACTTCTAGAGCAGTGTTTTTCAAACCTGGCACAACTTTAATATAAATGGACTTCAACTCCCAGAATCTCCAAGTCGTCATGTTGAAGTTGAAGTCCCAGAATTCCCCAGCCAACATGATGGTTGGGGAATTCTGGGAGTTGAAGTCTACTCATTAAAGTTGGTAAGTTTGTAAAACAGGGTTCTAGAGCAGAGGTCCCCAACCTTCTGGGCATTAGGGATCGGTTCCGCGGAGAAAAGTTTTTCCGTGGACCGGAGAGTGTGTGGTTTTGTGTGCTGCCTGTATCCCGCGGATGGGACTTTGCTTGTTTGTGTGGACCGGTTGCTGGCATGCCGCAGCCCAGTACTGGCTCACGGACCGGAGGTTGGGGACCCCTGCTCTAGAGGAGTAACATGGATGAGCAGCCTTGGCAGAAGGCAACATTTATCCAAACTTCCCATCACATTTCTCGTCTGTCTTTAATTATAAAGAGATGGGAAGATTCCTTTCTGCAATGTCTGTCAAATAATTTGAGATGGGACATGGAACCTTTGAAAGCTCCTTATGAAGTTCAGCTACATAGCTGAGATTTCCTGTGATCCAGGCAAACATCTTCCTGCCTGCAACAGATCATCACTGAATCCATAGAAGTTCAGTCTTCACCTCCTTCCTCAACCTGCAAAGTTTGTCACTGACCTCAGGATGAACCTCTTGCAAGGAGCAGAAAAAGGGCACGAAAGGTGGTCGTCCAAAGTGGGTGATGGAACGCAGGCCTGTGAACAAGCTCCGGTTGAGGACCTTTTGGAAGTGACGTTCACAGATGTACTAAAAAGAGATCAACCGATCATTAGAACAGAGCTGTCAGGGATCTGGAGGAGAAGGAACCTCTGTTCCATTGAAGGACCAACCACTAATCCAGTCACCATGAAGCTATTGATTCCCATTGTGGAACTAAACTCATGGGTACAATCAGAAACATTGGTTCCAGACTGAAAATAAGGAGACCCAAGATGACCGGGAATGGCTTGTTTAAAGGCACTCAATAATGTCATATTCAAGATCAAGATGAGTTGGAGGCTTTCTGATTTGCCCAATCTTATCCTACCTTCCTTTCTTAATTGCACAATTTTTAATTGTGCATACCCAATTCCTTTGGACTCATTGAAGAACTGGTAGATGCTCTTGGACAAAACTCAATCTCTGTACTTTTGCTAATAACACTTCAGGTTAATAGATGAGAACCTGACTTCTTGAGTTTTATTTCTTGAAGGGGCCTAGAGATAGAGCCCCAAGTAAATCTCATGTGGGGACTTACTAGCATGGTGGTGCGCAAATCAAACTTCTCAGCCAGCTGGGTGATGTAGATGTGGACGGAGACCAAGTCACGTTGATCGTTCTCCTCCACTTCCCGGATAATGTCGGCCACCCACTCAAACTGCCGTTGTGTACGGGTTACCCAAATGAAGTAGATCTTGGAAGACCAAGAAAAAGGCTATGATCATTGCTGAAAACCTATAATGCTTATAAGCATGTTATGTATCAAAATGTGAATTGTATTTTTTAAAAAAAATCCCATGAAAACGTATACTCATTTCCATGCACATTCCTAATATACCCCTCTATGTATATCCTCTTGTCCAAAATGTATACATTTGTAAACAATTATCTCAGATATAGGTTCTGCATATTGTTTTAACATTAAACCTTATTTTAGCGTGTGCTCTTTCCTCTAACATAATGTTTCCCAACCTTGGCAGCTTTCAGATCGGTGGACATCAACTCCCAGAATTCTGGGAGTTGAAGTCCACCATCTTAAAGTCTCTTAAGGTTGAGAAACACCACTCTTTTGTATTTTTTTTCAAAAGACTTGGAATTAAAAAAAACTAGAAATACAATAGTTTAATTCAGATGTATGAGCCAGTTTTTCCCTAGGAAACGTAAAATGAAGTACTTATAGTAAAGTCTACATCTCCACTATCTGTTTTAAGTAATGCAGTTCATTGTTAGAGAAGGCCTACCACCTGATGTTGATGCAAATACTGACACAATCGCAGTGAGTATACAGCAGCCCAACCACACCTCTGTTCGTCCAGTCTCACCTTCTTGCACAGGATCCTGGAGCCAACGGAAGATTTGAAGACAAGGTCTTTAAGAATGGAGGCAAACGGGGTCACTCCGATGCCACCACCCACCAGGACTGACACTTCAAATTTGTTCCATTCCTGATGACCCTCTCCAAATGGGCCATCAAGATAGAGCTACAAAGAAACAGGAGGAAAGAATGAAATTTATTGGTTTGGACAATGGAGTCCAGATGGTTTCCATTGAGCACAGCAAGGACAGGATTCCATATTTGTTAAGTATTTACAGATGTGGAGGGAAGAAAAGCCCTGTCAATGTTGGAATCAGAAAAGTGGTAGTTGATATTGATCAGCATATTTGTGTCCTCTACTAAAATCTATACCAGGAGAAAAGTGAGGCAAAACAAAATCCAGTTTTACCTTGGGATATTTGCCAATCTCTTCTATGCTTTCCTGTGAGTAGAGTTCCCGCAGGCGAGTTGTCCAAGGTCCAGCTGCTCGGATGTGCAGACTGAGCTGGTCTTCATGAGGAGCAGATGTCAGAGTGAAAGGATGGTACTCGTTGGTCCCCAGTGACAAACATGCAATCCGTACCCATTGTCCAGACCTGTAGTCAAAATCCTGGGGTCTCTGGAACTGCAGATTGGTGACTCCTGAATTAATTTAAAAAAAGTATTTGCTATGAAAGGTCAAACCAACAATACTATCCACAATGATCCGTGTTCAAGCAAATTACAGATAAGACAGACCTAAACTAGAGGGTAATCACTGAGAAGCAACAAGCAGCAAAGACCATGTTGGACCACCCAGATACTTCTCCGGGCCATATGTGGTCTACAGATCTTAGCAAGTCTCTTTAGATCAACTTTACTCAATGGACATGCTTTAGATGTATGACCTTCAACTTTCATAATCCCCCAGGCTGCAGGACCATTGATAAGAATTCTGGAGGTTGAAATCCACATGTTGGGAGGATACTCAGGTAGAAGATACTCTCTTTGATGTAGGATGGAGGGGGAAGGACCGTACAGGACAGCAGCATTACCTGAAGGGAGCAGCTCAGCCTTAATGACATTGATTTCCACCTTCTTCCTGCTAAGGCTGATGAGTTTATCTGTTACATAGATGAGTGCTGGGATAATGAAGTAAATATGAAAGCGAGGCTGTTGGATCAGAGCGTAGCTACCATGAATGACCACCTGGAAATATATTATACCTCATTTTAGACCATGATAATGAACGGGAAGGAGAAATTCTTCTCTGATTGTGATAACTCACAAAGAGCAAAAGCATCTAAAGATAGTTTGGAAGTCCTCAGTATCTCATAAACTTGCTTCAAATTGAGCTCTACCAATAGTGCCCCCCAAATCAATAGTAGTAAAAATCCTTCAATTTTAATTCTTTTTCAACTCTATCTGGAAATGATGCTCTTTTTGTATAGAAAACCCTACCATTAAACTCTTATCCCTCTTCATATATGGTATGAAGATAGTATATACCAGGGGTCTCCAAACCTGGCAACTTTAAGGCTTGTGAACTTCAACTCTCAGAATTCCTCAGCCAGGAATTCTGGGAGTTGAAGTCTACAAGTCTTAAAGTTGCCAAGTTTGGAGACCCCTGGTATATATGAATAGTATGAATCTTCCTTCATCTGTGGACGATTCGTGTTTCTGAATTATCATAGGCTTTAACCGTCACTTACCAGAATGTAGAGAACCACATAGAGATGATGGGTGATCCAGAATCCTTGAAAGCTGATTCGTCGGAAATAATGAGTGGCAAATACATACATGATCGCAAGGATGACCAGTAATAGCACGCCGGTCATGCCTGCAGAAGACCAGGAGAAGAGAGGGAACGTCAGCTGAAGTAAGGGAACACATTATGTTGTCTTGTTTCACCATTATCTCCATCTACTTCAGAGGTGGACAACCTGAAGTTTTCTATATAGGCCAAGTGATGACACAGCATTGCACAAATGACACAAATACTTCGTTTGCATCATTTCGGCTATGATACCCTGCTCTTTATGTCATCGTTATGACACAATCACAGTTTTTAATAGATGCCAATGCTAGAAGTTCCAATGTTCCATTCAACCCAAAGTCACTTCTTCAGAACTGATCTGAGGACACACTCAAAGGCTAATGTAAACTCTAAAATAGCTTCAAGTGTACTAAGCAAAAATCAAACACTCAGTTCCTGCCCCCATCAGCTTCAGACGACGTGAACAATTGGAATCTGGCCCACTTGCATTATTTCCTAGATCTTCATCTATCTCCAAATGTTAACTGCCGTCTGGTCACCAAAAGCCTTTGATATTTGATTTTTACCTGGTACTGTCTCAAAGAACCACCAGTAGTATTTGGGAGGAAATTGTGATCTGGAAAAACAAAACAAAACAGGGGCAATTCTCAGTAGAACAACCCACGATGTAACCTGGTTCATACATTGTGCTAAGCCAGGGGTCTCCAAACTTGGCAACTTTAAAGCTTGTGGACTTCAGCTCCCAGAATTCCCTTGGCTGGCTGGTTGGTTGTGCGCTGGGTTTCTGAATAATACAGAATTAAGAGCTTCCATTCTTTCTCCAGCCACCTGGAGTTTAAGAGTTAAGGAACTCCTTTCATTGCATCCTTACGTTCATAGAGGGACGCTCTCTACTCACCCGTCATTCGTAAATACGTGAGAAAAAAGGCATGACAGAATGCTGAGAGGGGTCACCGAAAAGATGTAGACATTCACAACGTGGCCCAAGGTGTGCAAAACTGCAGGAAACATAGGACAGTGAAGTTAGGTATCTGTGTCACCGGATTTAATTGCATATTTCAAATCTCTTTTAACTACCGTATACACATTTCCTGTCTTGGAACTATGGGCAATATGGAGCTATAAAAAGCAATCACGCCTAACAATGAAAACATAAAATAGCAGTGTAACTTTGTAGTGAGATCACAAGCTACAGTGTTACATACATCTATGAACTGTGCAAAGTTCAGATGTTAAAAAAAATAGAAATATTACACACCTATGTTTGTATTTACATTACAATTGTAATTTCCTTGATGTGAGTTTGTCAAGACTAATCAACTTTGATTGGCAAGAGGAAATGTTAGGTGGTTCATTTTCAGTTTGGACTGGTAGAAAATCCCCTAAATTGAAAAACCAGATTTTTCTGGAGTTGATTTCCATCACTGTTGTCAATCATTTTCCTTGCACTTTTACTGGGCCCTGCATTGTCGAAAGCCACGCAGTTGCAGCGGTGAGAAATTAGAGTTGGTTGTTTTAGAAGTTTCACCTCCATTACGCTGACCCTTACAAAACTAAACAGTAGCCCTTGGCTTGCAACTGTTGGTTTAGCAACCATCCAGAGTTACAACCACACTGAAAACAGAGACTTAGGCTCAGTCCTTGACTTATGACCATTGCATCGTCATGGTCATGTGATCAAAATCTAGATGCTTGGCAACAGGAATGTATTTTCCATGGTTGCGGCATTGTGGTTCTCTTAACAACTGCAGTGATTTGCATAACAACCTTGACAACAAATGTTGTACAATTGGGTGTGACTCACTTAACTTAGCTATGGAAATTCTGGTCCCAATGTGTTTGTAAGTCGAGGACTACTTGCAATTCAAAGGGTGCCTAGGGTTCCTAATTTCAGCAATTACTTACCGTTCTGCTCCAGGTCAGATCTAGTTGCCTGCTTGTACCACAAACTGTTTTAAAGGACCACCACATTCTAGTTTGGCTACTCAAAGATTCAGTCTGTTTAGATCTACCTGAGAAGATCAAAGCTCCCGTTGCGATCCATCGGTGGAAATCCACGGCAGAGTCAAAAGGGATGTAACGATTGAAGAAGGTTTCTCGCAAGAACGTGATGAGGTTTCGGCACATGGTGAGTAAGATGAAGGAGTACATGAAGGTCTACGACCGCGGTCGGGGCGCTCTCTAGTCCTACGGGTGTTTCCACCACAGTCGTTACGGTCACCCACCGCTACGTTTAGGTATTAGACGTTTCCCTTGCCTAACTCGCTCAGGGTTTCCTACTCTAACCCTGTTTTGGGAAGTATTGACCCAATGAGGGGAAAAAAAGGACCCGACTCTGGAACAAACACAGGAAGGAGTGGTGTGCTGGAGACCAGGCCATCTCCAAAAAGGAGGTAGACTCAGAATAAAGAGGTCAGTGGGAACAGGTTACAACCCAGTTGGATTCAATGCGATTTCTGTTTCGATTGAAGGATTGGGAAATTAAATGGAGGAGGCAGCATTCACAGGACTTTTCCCTGTTCACCATGTCTATCCAATACAAGTGACCATCCAGCAGACACTTTGGGACACAAAGTTTTGGAGGAAGTCCACACACAGGTCTGCAGCCTCAAGGTACACCTGCCATTCCATAACTGCATTCTCACCTCCAACATGCTCAGATGATAAACACGCTTGCATGCCCCATAAGTGGCATGGCAATGCAAGACCAAAGGGGTCCAAGACTCTAGGGAGCACATAGTGATGTGTACAGATTCGGAGCTCCCCTCCAGATCTCTACCTATGTGTCCAACGGGGAGGGGTTAGGTTACGGGAAGATTGCAAGGAGGATACTCAGGTCTTGGAGGGTTCAACCGCAGCTTTGCCAGTAAAGTTATGACCCATCTCCTACAGATTTGCATCATTAAAACAGCCACTATAAAAGCCATACCAGGAAGTTTGGCAACAAACTTTCCTTGTTAACCATTAATGCAGCTCTACTTGCAGCGGGAGTGTCTTGCTTTACACCGGCGTTAGTCTGTGCTGCAAGGAGATACGTACGTGGTATGCTTAGTGGTGGCTGCCACTGCCTGCCTGCCCCGGAGACGGGTGTCTCTGCTTCCTCACGGCATGAGGATGCTGGGTTCTGAATCAAGTTAGCCACGCCAGCTCTTGAGCTGAGCAGCCGGTTCGGTGGTGCTAAGTAGGCTGGTAACTCACAATATGCTCTTTCTACAAAGACGCCAGCAGTGATGGCTGAGAATATCACCACGCAGATAATGTGGCGCCTGAAGTTCTCAATAAACCTCTTGAACTGCTGGATCTTCTGGTGGACTTTGTTTCTCTCGTACCGCTCCCTCCGTGCCTCGGTGTACAGATGAGGTTCTGGGAAGGTCAATCTGGAATATGGGAAACCATAGGTCAGGAAAACCTTGGCCGGTAGGGCAAATTTCGATTGGAAGACCATGGAAGAAAAATCTGCTCGACAACATCCCCCACCCCCAAATTCCTCACTATTTCAGTGAGTGAGCCAGCTTCAGGCAAATGGGGACCTACTTTGCTTTTTGTTAGAGCAGGGCTTTTCAACCTTTTCACCCATTGTACCACTTTTAGGATATGGCAGCATCCGAGTACCACCAGTCGCCTAGCAAGGTGTCAAAAACTTGATGACCCCCCCCAAAAGGGAAAAAAGTGATGAAGTATAGGTAGTCCTCAACTTACAACAGTTCGCTTAATGACTGTTCGAAGTTAAAATGGCACTGAAAAAAGTGCCCCCAAAGCCATAGCCGAGCAAGACACCTGCCTGCCCACCCGGTGGCGCTCTTCCTCCTGTCCGAGGTTTCCATTGTTGAGAGAATTTCTGTTGAGGATTGGCAGCGGGGGTGGGGTAGGGGGGTGTTTGGTTTTTATTTCCTCCCCCCCCCCCCCGTCTGCTGGGTGGTTGCAGCAGGTTTTGGTCACTTCACATGACCCTGGGACACTGTGACCGTCATAAATATGAATCAGTTGCCAAGCATCTGAATGTAAATCACAAGACCCTGGAAATGCTGCAACATTCCAGCTGATCGGCGCTTCTTCTGGGCTCAGCGGAAGCGCCAGGATCAGCGCCAAGCTCCAGCTGGAGCCTATTGCGGATCCTGGCGCTTCCGCTGAGCCCTGACAGCCCTGCAGCTCCAGCCGTCTCTCGCTCACGGTTGTGCGGTGCTGCCACCGGTTCAGCTCATTCCCCTCCCCCGCTACCACTTTTCTAGGATGGTCGCATACCACCTGCCAGGTGCCAATCTACCACAGGTGGTACCCGTACCACTGGTTGAAAAGCCCTGTGTTAGAGCCCCCTGGCCTCAAAAGATCCCCCAGAGATACCTTTGCAAGGGAACAAAAGTATTTCTGAGCACATGGAAAAGCTAAAGATTTACCAGCTTTTTTTTGTTTTCCTCCCATAAATGCTTCCCTGGTATATGAAGAATGATAGCAGGAATTGGATATGTCTAGTTTAATGAAAAGAAGGACTAGGGGTGACATGATAGCAGTCTTCCAATATTTGAGGGGCTGCCACAAAGAAGAGGAGGGGGGTCAACCTATTCTCTAAAGCATCTGAAGGCAGAACAAGAAATGAGGGATGGAAACTAAGGAGAGGACCAACCTACAACTAAGGAGGAATTTCCTGACAGTTAGAGCAATTAGCCAGTGGAACAACTTGCCTCCAGACGTTGTGGGTGTTCCATCACTGGAGGCTTTTAAGAAGAGACTGGACAACCACTTGTCTGGAATGGTACTATAGGATCTCCTGGTTCAGCGGGGGGTTGGACTAGAAGGCCTCCAAGGTCCTTTCCGACTCTGTTATTCTGTTTTACATTGATATTTTTTTTTCACCATAGAAACTTGAGTTGGTCTGGAGAAGCCAACCCAGTTGTTTCTACCCTAGTATTCTACTCCTCTGGTTCTTAATTCAGGGTGGAGTATTTGAGACTCCTGAGGCCATCCCAGAAGCCTGTATTTCCACTGCTGTCATGCTGGTGGCATCACTCTTGTGGACTTTGCTGCTATAAAAGACAACAGTGATGTTTGGATTTGTTTCAGAGCCTATTCTTGCTATGTTGCCTGGAAACTAACCACATAGTAAACAAATTAACAACACAATCAGTTATTTATAATGTGTACAATAGAAATAATGAAGGCTGAGTCAGACAGATGCCGATAATTGGCATCATTGGTACCCAGAGTCACTTGATAATGAAATGGGTGATGTATAGATTTAACAATAAAACATACATGAGTAAGCTGCAGAGATAACTAGTTGAAGGGTGTTTACACTTTTATGGAACTGATGGTTGTTTGAATTCTGAATGTGTACACTGGAGTTGAATTATGGAGATTAACTAGGCAACACAAAGGAACTCTGGAGCTCTCCAGACTCCTGAGTCCCTTGTAGCTTCTAGCTCAGTTTTCCTCTGAAGTGGCTAGTTCTGCTATGGTGACGAAATGACTTGCAGCAAGTGAAGGGTGATGCCCACAGATCTTCATAAATATGATGAATTACAAGTCCTAGCCACAATTCCTAATGATTCCTCCTACATAACTGCTCATCTCCTTGTATAGATACTTTTACAGGAACAGAGATGAATTTGCCAAAAGTGGGATTACCTGTGATCTGCCCTTGACTTTCCCAGAAATATCTATGCTAGATTAGCCTATACATCTTGGATCTGATCCAGCATGGCTTCTGCTTAAAAAAAATATGGTGCCATTCCAATCAAAACTCTACACAGATAATTATTTCATTTCTATTTTTATGTAACTAACAAGATCCAATAATTCATTGGAGCTGCTGGCCCATACTCGATCCATTTTCAAGTTCAATGAAGGTGATAAGGTTAAGATGGACAGCTCATCGTTCAAGTTTAGAATGAGTGTCTTTGGTCCATTACACAATGCACATACTTACTTTTTCCCCAGTCTTTTCCGTACGTCTTGTCCTAATCCTTCCCCAGGTAGCCAGTCTGAACCCAGGATCAGAGGNTGGAGCTGCTGGCCCATACTCGATCCATTTTCAAGTTCAATGAAGGTGATAAGGTTAAGATGGACAGCTCATCGTTCAAGTTTAGAATGAGTGTCTTTGGTCCATTACACAATGCACATACTTACTTTTTCCCCAGTCTTTTCCGTACGTCTTGTCCTAATCCTTCCCCAGGTAGCCAGTCTGAACCCAGGATCAGAGGACTATCTCGAGTTAGGAGGAAACTATAAGAGAACAGATCATCAGCTTTTGAAGAGGACCCCTCTGTCTACAATGTTGGAAGCGAGCAAGATGCCTTGAGGGTTTGACCATACTTTAAAATCATCATGAAAAATGCCAGCCAATCCTTTTTTTTCCAGAAGTTTTGGCTTTAAATTTTCTATGGAGTTGGCTTCCAGTCAACCCCCAATCTCAAGGGTGGAGCACAAACATGACTTTTCTGTCTACATTTCAGTGGAAAAAAAACAACTCCTTTTCACAGGAATGAGGTTTTTTTCCACCAAAACTCTCCCTGTATTATTTTAAAGGTAGGGTCAGTCCCAATGACACATAATTAATTTTACTCTTGTTGTAGCACCTTGCATTTGGGACTGTGTGTATCTCATTAATAACCTGATTTACTGTAAGCTGTTTTGAATGCTGTCATTTCAAGTTACATCAAGCCATCTAAAGATTATGGCACATATCCACCAACAAGAATATCCAAGCCCAGCCAAAGTATTTTGGCATCTGAGGTACTTCTTCTTTGGCAAGAAAAACAGAAAATTTCTAAATCCTGTCTTTGCATGTCACAATTATCTACCTGAACCACCTATTTTTTGAAACCCAATGATGGGGCTGGCTGAAAGCAGAGTGCATTAAGTTTAAATGTTATTCTCTAGGAAGAAAAGTAACCTACAGAGGGAAAGATGAAGCTATTAAATCTTCCCTTCTGATATTCTATTTCTGTATGTGGAAATAACCGTCATAATACTTCACAAGTGGTTCTTCATGAGGTTTTCCAAATTAGTTGCATGTCAACAAAATGGGAAAGAACTTGATGGATTTGTTAAAAAAGTTGAAAAACTTTCAAGGTTACCACATAGGAACTTCCAAGCTTCTTTAATGCTTAAAAGTCTGGCTGAACTCCTAAAAGTATTTAAACTTTTTTGCACTTAGACTTCTACAAAGGCCATCTTCCCATCCTCTGCTTAGTACAGTTCAGCTTGTTATCTATTTTTTGCAAGCAGATCAATATAAAAGTCTTAAAACGAATGTCTAATTTGGCCCGCGTGGTTTTCTATATTCATTAGTACATATTGATCCCCACTGCATGAATATTTATTTCCTTTTCATTACTGGTTACTTCATGATCACAAGGATTGGGTAGAGTATGGGAAGTGTAAACAGGCCACAAATCTTTGCAAAGAAACTGTGATTTGTGGTGGGGGCAAACTGGGATCTGGGTCACATCTAAAATCCACACAGGCAACCTGCATGGAAAGCACGCATAAGAAGGTGAGTAACTGGGAGATGACGTACTTGTTATCTCGATCCTTGTTAATGAAGGACACACGATTGATTTCATTTAGTTTGAGTCTCTCTGGAACTCCTGGGAGGAGGACAGAAAACAAAGTTCAATTGATGACCATCAAGGACTTAGAAGAGTTAGAGCAGAGGTCTCCAACCTTGGCAACTTTAAGACTTGTGAACTTCAACTCCCAGAATTCCTCAGCCACTTGAAGTCCACAAGTCTTAAAGTTGCCAAGGGTGAGGACCCCTGAGTTAGAGAATGGAAAAGAAAGATATTGATTGACTTTGTGGACATTTTGTTGGTTTCTTTCCCATAGTTTCAGGTCCAAAACCAAGAATAATGTGTGGAGATTCTTCCAAGCTGAGTTCTTTATGGGTCCACACCTAGAGACAGAATCTTGCCAGTCTGAAGACTCTCCTATCTGCCTCTACGACAGTGGTTCTCAACCTTTTTAATGCCGCGACCCCCAACCGGTCGTAAGTCGAGGACTAAACCGGTCATAAGTCGAGGACTAAACCGGACGTAAGTCGAGGACTAAACCGGTCGTAAGTCGAGGACTACCCAACCGGTCGTAAGTCGAGGACTTTCCCTGCCCGGGAGCGCCGCGCATGCGTGGTTCCGCCCCCTGCGCTGGCCGAGTTGTAGCTGGCAAGCGGCAGAGACGGAGCAGGCCAACCACCAGCTGGCCCAGCCCAAGGGAGGTAAGGCACCCGCTGGAAAAGTGGAAAAAAATGGCGGACAGCCTTGCTTGGCGACCCCTGTGAAATGGTCGATCGACCCCAAATGGGGTCGCGACCCATAGGTTGAGAACCGCTGCTCTACGATATACTCTAGGGACTAATAGGGAGGAGTCATCTCCACCCTCTTTCTTTCACACATGATATCTGGGCTGAGTTGCCTCTTATTTATCTGGAATGCACCCCTCCCTCCTGGAGATCCACTTCCTCATTCCATTCCATCATACATAATGACCCATGAGAGAAAGAGAGAGAAAGAAAGAGGTACAATATAATAAGAACGGGACCATCTACTTCTGGAGATCCTGAGCTGTTATTGCTAATGTTTGCTGCCAAAAGTATGGCTTCCTTTTCTCCTACCCAACTGGAAGGCTTCGTGTGAGCTATCTCTTTTGGTTTCTGCTGACCTTTAATGCACAGTTGAGTGCGCTGGAGTGCATTGTCATGATCCCGCAACATGTAGTGAAAATCCTCCCAGGTGAGCTCTTCCTTATCCTGGAATCCTGATTCTTTGAACAAGGATTCGATAACCTGCTCGGTCTGATCCCGTGAGAGGCAGTTGTTAGAGATCTCGATGAAGGATCTAGAGGAAGAGATAAGAGGAAGTATGCCTGCTGAGATAAGATGACTAATGGGGTAACTGAAGAGTCTATGGCAGGGGTCCTCAAACTTGACCGCTTTAAGACTTGTGGACTTCAACTGGCTGGGGAATTCTGGGAGTTGAAGTCCACAAGTCTTAAAGTGGCCAAGTTTGAGCACCCTGGTCTACGGCAAGGTCTTCCTTGAATTGAAGAAGCATGGTTGATAGCACACTAATTTCACTCATACTCAGATGAACGTACAAATACTGTGGGTTGGGTGGAAGCACTGGCTGAGCTTGGTCTGCAATAAGATCAGTCCTAGTCTGCAAATCTAGGGGATTGTTTTCCACGTAGCTTCACCTCTTCCAAAATGCTGGGCTGTGGGTTGTGAGATTGTGTTTTATGGTTGGTGGCAATGTCCCCCAAGATGTATACAGCCTGAATTTCAGATGAAAAACCTGACCACAGGTACAATACACCATTCTAGCAAACAGAAATTCTAGCACCTCTCCACCAAGAATCAGTTAGGATAACAAAAGCAACACCCCAAACCAGCAGAACATACCTCAGCATCCGAAAGAATTCGTCCTTTGAAAGGAAACCATTTCCATCAATATCGTACATGTCAAACATCAGCCTGGACTTCTCCTGGGGGGATCCTGGTTGAGAGAGAAAGAGAGGACCAGGCCTCGTCAGCACAACTCAGCCTCCCCCCCAAAAAAATTTGGAAAGATCCTTGAAGCCTGTTTCTTGTTCTTGTTAAGACAATCAGAATGGAAGGAAAGAGTGTTGAGATGATCAGTGTGGTGAGGAAATAGGTGGGGGATAAGATAGAACAGACATTGTTGGAGCAACTCAAAAGTTCATGGATTGTGCTGATGGATATCCATAAAATCTCATTACCTTGAAGTTCATCGTGTTGGCTGAAAAGCTAACACAATCTTCACATTTCCCATGGCTCAAGATTAAGACTCCACTACAGGACTCTGCTATAATGGTGGCATCTACCTTCAGTCCTTGTTCTAGGTTCTCAGGAAGATGGCAAAGTGTCCTGCCCCCTTTCACTAACCCCATTCGTTTGTTTCTGGAACTCAAAGGAAAGGCCTCTATTTTCTTCCATCCTCTTCATCATCAATGGATGGATAAACTGATATAATATCAACCTACATAATTCAGTTGGGTATCAAATATTAGGGCTGCCTTCACACATCATGGCTGACATGGTTATCGAATGAATCAATCTCAGGTTACACGAGACACTGAACCATAAAAAAATTAAACAGTCATTCAAAATAAAACAGAAATCCTGTGTAACACACATTAAGCTTAGCTGATCATAAAAATGCAGCTGTAAATTAAGCTGATTTAGTAACG